AAACAGTTTACACTCTTCATTTGTGTTCTTTAGTACATATGAGTTTCATTTTAGGTGTTTTATAAGGTGTCCTACATGCTCTCAAAAGGTAAATCCAACTATTGGAAAATTTACTGAGGACAGTTGAGAACTGCCTGAACTACAAAGCATGACAATAAAAAAGATTATAAAAAATTAACATGACCCTAATGACAGCTGTATGTAATCTACACACAACACGCGTGACGGGACTGGTCACGGGACGAAATGCTGATAAGCAGGACAAAGCGAGCAGATAGAGGGGAAGGAAAAAACCCAACCATAAAATGAACTATCCTGACTACCCAGAAAATACAGGCTCTGAGGCTGGTCACAACCTCATGGTTACAGTGGCAACTAATGTAACAGCTATTTTAATGGAAAGGAAGGTCACGGTTAATCACGTATTGGGGGCACAACAAAGCAGTGGTCACCTTCCATCTCCACGGGTGCCGCTCATCCATCTGCAGAGGGCCAGACTCTTCAACGCTGGGTGCTCCCTTTCCAAGAGAAGAAACAAGGGGTCAGAGGATGATGAGAGGGGTTAATGTTTTTGGGGATACGGAGACCATGGGTAACCACGCCGGAGGCAAGCTTCAAGTAAGGGAACAACATTCGAATGTGGGAGGGGCGGGGGGGGGGGTGGTTTGGGGAGTGTTAACTGTATCCCTCAAAACAACCACAGCCAAGCTGCTGGAGAAGCATTCGGCGCCCATGACGAGAACTCTGGCATCATTGCCGGATTCATCACACAATGATTAAAGCAGGAATCATATTAAATGAGACGCAAACCAGTTAAAAACAGTGATTAAAGAGATGCATTAATCAGGTAGAAAACAAAGAGCTAGAAATAACTAAGGTAGTGGCCAGGGCAGGATAACGATGACTATTCACAGATGAACCAGTCAGATCCTATTTGCTGGGGTATGATTAAGGGTAACGATGATGTGTAAGGTAAGAATGAGCGGTTAAAGCATCCAGGCATCACAAAAAAAAGCCCAACATTTAGGGGGAGGGGGGCGCAGGACAATGGCGAAGGGCCCAGCAAGCGCTCACCTGATGAAGATCGATATACTGCAAGGCGGGGGCTAAGCTGACCGGTGGTGCATAAGTGGAAGCATAGACAGGTTCCTACAGGACACAGCCCACATGAGGGGGCGAGGCAGGGGGGGACAGAAGATGGGAGGACAGACGAAGATATGGAGAGTTAGGCAGCACAGCGGACAGTCATTGTGAGAAGATAAATAACCACTAAGGGCCGCTCCGCTCCTTTCGGGTAAACACTCAAAACCAAGGCTGTAAAAATCTCTCCTTATGATCTTAAGAGTAGAACACTTCATCCATTATGCTGCAAGGCTGTTGACCTCCCCAAGGAGCTCACACCAGCACGCAAATCAGATGTGCAGCTAGGAATCCACAGCACATCTCAGTGTCACAAGGGCTGTCGAGTCAGCCGGAGTGAGATTGCATTCCATGCATAAACCTGAGAGAGGGTGTTAGGCCCAGGTCCTTGGCAGGTCTCGCTGGGCAGCAGGGAATGCGGTTGAGGGGGATCATGCCAAAATCAGCTATATTTCAACCCACCTAGGCTGATCGTTTCCCCCCAGGCCGAACCAAAACAAGGCACAGCACAGTTCACCCAACGGGACCTCCAGATACAGGCTGATCTCAATAACTCCACACTTTGCTCCACTGCACTGTGAAGCTAAAGGTCCGTCACAGCATCATGCCCAGAAGCAGAGTGCATGGAGGCCCCCAACATCGACCACCAAGAAGCAGCAACTCCATCAGCACACTGGCCAAGCTTACCCAGAGCTGCTCAGAAACCAGCAAGTCATCAGTTATCAAGCCCTCCTCCTACAAGCCAAGACAAACGGACATGTTGCAGGATAATTGTGGAAGGGCTTTGGTCAGAGACCTTCTGAACCTTGCAGATTACAGGAGCATTGCTTACATTGCCCCAGACATGCACAATCGCAGATAAACATGCCTCTGACATGGATACACTTACCTGATATTTGGATCAGGGAGACATCCAGGGAAACAGACTCATTTATAAAGGCACTTAACAGTCAGTTGCTAATACTGTAGCGTATTTAAAGTATTGGGTTATATTGACATGCTGAGCCCAAGAAACATGTCAGTATTTCAAGGGAGGAAAAAGAAACTTTTCACAACTCTGTTCAAATTCCCATCCTTAAAACCTGGAAAAGCATGCTGGTATTAGCCTGTTCGGACCAGTTTAAAAGACCAGCACAAGGAATTTGACTTGTTAAACTTCTACAGATCAGCCTTAATGCTGGATTCGCTCAGTCACTTAATTTGCACTTTTTGCCCGAATACTCCATAGATGTAATGCTGAATGGCCGCCAAATGTGGGTGTGGCCCCTAATTCCCGTGGGAATCTGCTCTGTGGTTCTTATTCCAGGAAAGGAATGGCTCTTTTCCACTCACAGGTCCACAGAGAACCCTTCATCCCTGATGAGAGCTGTTCACGTCTACTCTCTCTCCTAGCTGGTCTGACGATCACTGTGAGAAGTTCCTATAGCCCTGGCTCCAGACAAACTATCAGAAACCCCGGTCCAGGCAACAAAACAGTAGACAACATGCATCATGCAAGACATGTTCTCATCAACGTACGGCCACAAAGCAACAGATGTGCAACACCACAGAAGCTCCTCTGAGCTCTGCATTAAACCAGGAGACAGTGTGGTGCCTCTGGTGCAGTTAGAGCCCCCCCTACGCACTCACACAGCCAGGGGTGTGCTGACAAAACTCACACCTATTTCTACACACACTGATGGACTGTAGGGCTGCATGTTAACACATTGCGCTATAAATTGCAATTTTTTTGGTGCACGTGCAATAATCACCAGGGCGGGGGTAAACACTGGCTTTTCCGTACTATACAGACATCTACTTACACCCACAATTTGGTAAGCAAATTAGTAGCATGCCAAAAATATTAACGAGAGGTGTACTGTAATGCCCAAAAATCAATAGCAGGTATAAATTCAGCGTATCCTTATGTTATTTAAATTCAGATTGCTGAGCACGCCGCATGCTAATGTTTTGGTATGCCATGGAAGTGAGAAACACTGGAGTGGCGGTGAAGAAAGGAACAGCTCAGCAGCACTCTTAGAGTGTCTTGTGGACAAACAAGGTAAAAAAAAAAAAGATGTTAGGGGTGTGGCGGCACTTTTTGAAGTTGAAAGTTTGACATTTATTCAACATAAGGATACTTCGAACTTATACAGATTACCGACTTTGGGCTTCACAATACGCCTTTCATTAATATTTTACGTATACTACTAATCTGCTTACTGAATTGTGGATGCAAGTAAATGCCCATATAGTATACAAAAGCTGGCTTTTGGAAAAATATTTGCGCTTGCCACCAGAAGCCCAGCTGATTACTGGGCATGCACCATATATTTGAGATTCATATCGCCATGTGACACCATGCAGCCCTATTGGACTGCTACAGAATTAAATGTGATGCACAGGTATCCAAGTCTGCTTATTCTGAACAGATGAGGTATTATGCAGGAGAAGAGAGACTGGAAAGAGTTACCACACACAGAATACATTATTGATAGAATACAGATCCACAAAGTGATTGCAGTATGTTTTAAATACGGAAATTACTAGAGCCTACAATTACATATTAACATTTCCTTTGTTAAGTCAGCGTGGCGAGTCTGTCCACAGTAAAACAGCTCACACACGTACAGTACAGACAAAGTCAACCATCTTAATCAGCGAGTGAGAATACTACAATGCTGACCTCAACAATGTAAACAGCGGAGAAACGGAGGGGCGTTTCTGCTTGGGGCCCAAAAGCGGTTCCTAATTACATACAGCTGCATTTGATGAACTTCAGGCATATATTTCTCAGAACCATGAAACATAGGATTCGCACATTTGATACGACGGGAATCGATGCCAAATGAAACAGGATAATAGGATATGATTTGTGGATCCAGGACATTAAAGGTCGACAAGCTGATAGAGCACATTAGGGGCAGAATCACAATTACACCCAAAGTAAATATTTCCCCCAAAATACTGAGAAACATTAAGTCACATGTCGAAACTCCCAGAGTCAAAGCAAATGTAAACTTAAAGGGGCAGGTTTAGCTTTACGGAGAGAGACACGGCTGGTCAGACCTCACAGACAGTGCTGAAATCAAACTGTGGCAAACCTTTAATCGAGCTGCACATAGCCTCGGGACAGATGGTATTTACTCCTGAGTGTCGTACCACAATGCGGCACGTGTGAAATGTGACCATGCGGTGCTGCTGCATCTGTGCACTTTCATCCAAGCTGCTAATTCAGGGGGATGTTACTACAGTACTAAATTAAGCCTTACTAATTGGCTAATTAACAAAGCTTGACCGTATGCTGCATGCTTGCAGATCTATGTCCTAACAGTAGGTCTTGGTATTGCTACAATGTATTATGTAATAACGCCGCATTATGTAATAACTTGACAATGTAACAAATTCAATGATTATGACATTGATGATAATTGTAATAGGGTAATGTTGCAGTATAAAATCATAATGACAAAATGTTACTAATTTATGGATAAGTTCTTACATAATGTGGCGTTATTACATAATGAGTTGTTACACCGTGACAACACATTATGTAATAACATCACATGTAATGAAAATTTGTTACATTTTATTGAGTTACTACATAATGTGGCATTATTACAGAATGCTTTGTAAATGGAATTCACACAGTCAATTTGAACTTCACGTCAATTATTCAGCAGATCCAGTCAAGACGGGTGGGAATGGAGCTGCAGCAGAGTGGGTCAGTTAGGGAGAAAGGGCTTACCGTTTTCTTGAAGCCTGGCTCCATCTCCCAGAAGTGCGTGGGCCTCTCTGCCATGGCTGCCATCGCCACATCCTGCTTCTTGTTGATTCGGTTCTTCCAGTCCTCCTCGCCACTCTTTTTAAGCAGGGCCAGCCTGGGGGGGGAAGACACACTGGTGTCAGACTCGGCTTGCCGGGTTACTGGGGTGCACGGATGAGGCCCCTCCACATCTACTCCCTACACCCTCTATATCTACCCTTTGCCCCCCAAACTGCACTCGGCTAGTCAGCTGTATAGGGTCCCAGATGTCCTCATGCAGCTGGCTTTACCCTGGAAGTGCCGCTAGTATCCAACTACCTCTGCCATTCAGGATCCAAGATCTTTATTGGCAATTGGTATCAGGTGCATTGGAAGGCTTCGCCTAAAGACAGTGTTATACGACACAGAGTGCAAAACTAGATGATATGTAGCCAGGGGCTGAAAAGTGTAGTAACAGATCTACAAGTGCATGTTCCATGGATATGACTATTACAGGAAATGTGGATGCTGGAAATTCAAATTGCTTGGGGAAATAAGCTGTGCCTGAATCTGGCAGTCAGGCCACTCAGTGTTGGTTTAGTACAGCTGATTGCTAAAAACCTCAAAGTACCACATCCAGAACCAGGAGCAAAGGCTGCAAAGCCGTTCACCCCTGAGCTACTCATGCAAAACTTCACACTCAACAGCTAAATATCATCTGACATAGCTCATTTTAATGCAGCGCCTACAGAAACGGTTTTTGGTCAGGAGTGCATAGTTTTGAAGCCCACAGCCAGCGTCTTCCGGTTTATGAGTCCAGAGTCTGCGGACAGACAACAGATATAGACAGCAGACAAAAGGAGACAGCAGCTTCCAAACTCCAGAGGTCATTAGAAAAGGTCCACTCAATTCCAGGTGCCTCTGCAGTATGTACACAGAGCAGTGCATTATGGGTATGAATGCAGGATAAGATCACACACGTCTTGGCAGGATGCAGAAGAATTGAGTACAAAACTGCTGAAGAGATATTCAGCCACAGAGGCTCAGGAATAGCACAACCGGACAGCATTGCCCCACTGACCCTGAACCTCCTTCCTGCCACTACAGTTCTCTGGGTTTGACAAACAGCAGAGCATAAACAGCCACTCATAATCAGCACACTGACGCAGCATGTGGCACCAGTCTTAGGGACATGATCTGAGCTCAATAATTAGCTTTTGTGCAATTAACTCGACCCCTCGACCTCTAATCATATCTGGTGGATTTTGGAGAAGCCAGATCCAGACCCCCTTCATAGCACACTCAAGATATATAGGATCCCTCCCCCTTTCTAACTAGGAAAAACACTCCTTCCCATCTGGATACTGGACAGCAGAACCCGCCTGGCCATCAGTGCCAAATATAAATGCCTTTTGCTTATTTTATTTACTTATTTTTACACATTATATTCTATAAGCAAAGACCTATGGCACAGCCAAGTGTCCAGATAACAAGCCATTCAAAACACATCATGAATGGCCAGCCAACATTCTCACCTCCCCTGCAAAGACAGACTCCCTCCCAATGGGGCATCAGAGGGCACGACCTTAACGGAGAGGCGCCTGGCGCGTCTGCGGGGGAATTGGGTCTGCAAGCTGACACACTGCCCTCAGCATGAAGGCAGACAGCAGAGCAGAGCCAATCAAAAGGGGGAACAAGAAACTGGGGTGTGTACTGGCAGCAAACATCATCAGCTCACAGTAAAGCCCAAAGCGTGACCAACAGTGTGGAAAACTACACTACACATGTGAGCAGCATGTTAAGCAGATGTCACACAGGGAAGGGAGGGTCGGAAAGTTCCTGGAGCAATTGGGGGATATGGACCCAATTCTGAAACCACTCTACTAACTGGGGTTTGAATCCAAAACCCCCAGGCATCCCTATTAAAATTGAGCCGGACTTTGTACCTGCCGAGATGAAACCGGTGTCCTCCAAGCACCACACTCAGTCTCTCAGAAATGGCACACTGCTACAGTTTACACACCAGCACAGGCCCGAGACACCAACCCACAACCCTGAGGACATCTTTAAAAAAAAATTAAAATCTGACACTTCGACATGTGGGCTACAAGGAACATCTGCCCTGCTGCCTCCAATTCCCCCCCCCCCCCACCCACCCCCCACAACCTGTGACGTAACCTAGATTCCACAGAGACACAAGGTACCTCTGACTCACCTTCGGCTACTTCACTGCAACTTGTTAAGTGACTTCACACAGAACGGGGGGTGGCGGGGGGGAGGTAACCAGGATCTGTCTAGCCAAACACTGCTCTCTGTGCATGCTAATACAACACTTACCGACGTTACAGCGCAGAGCGTGACCAACGAAGCATCGCGAAGCAAGTACAACCTATTACCAAGAAACAGGACACAGAGAAACAAACATACAGCGTAATGCTAAACATCCACTCGCCCCCAGCTCACCTCTCCTTGATAGACATCTGTTTAGTGGTCATGGTTTCATAGGGGTTCCCCAGAGGCTCTGGGTGGCTCGCCTTGGCAGTCAGGGGCCCCTGAGAGTTGCCGATGCCGTCTCGGGGCACGCGTCTCCACACCGGCACTGCTGGGGCTCTGACGGCTGTGCTGGGCTCTGGCAGAGAGGCGGAGACTGATGTGGGGATGTCGTAGAGAGAGAGAGAGGGGACAGGATATTAGACAGCCCCAGTGCAACTTCCAACAGCAAAACAGTGACAAATACACAAAAAAAAAAAACCGTAGGGCTTGTGCTGAAGTCTGACAGCTGATAAGGCTCACAGAGGGTTCCCACCCCTCCTCCAACACCCCCCTCCTACTTAAAAACTTGCAAACTAAATAAATAACAGAATGAGAAAACAAATGTCCCTTCCACCCCATCCCCAGGAATCTTCTTCCTGGTCAGTAAGCTTACAGACAGCCCTGAATTGAGAAGTGATGTCCTTTAATGGCTCCATTCACTTGAATGCTGAGGCACAGAAAGATATAAGCAAGAGTCGAGGAGCCAAACAGGAAAACCAGAGTGCCTTTCTGTTAAGGCTGAGAGGAAGTGCATAACCACAGAGAAAAATGAAAATGCATGGCCGGCAGAACCGGAAACAAAACGTTCTCTGTTTATTTCTCTAACTTTTTTTAAGCAAAATCGGGCCGTTTCGCGACCTTGAGTACCCATCCGGCAGTTTACTCGGAAATAACAGGTGATGTTCTCAGCCACTGGAAAACCAAGGGAGCCGTTAAGGGGACAAAGCCCTCAGTTTAGAAAGAGAAATTAATGCAGCGAAGGCTGCCTGTGTAGAGAATCACTCATCCTCAGCACCCCCCATACCTGAGCTGGTTGTCCCGGGGGCAAAGCCGCCACCCCCTTCGTGCAGGTTGTGTGAGGCTTGGGCCTCCCCCAGGGGGCCCCGGTGCTCCTGTTTCTCCTGGGAGAGGGGACACTCTTCTTTCTTCGGGCTCCAAATCGAGCACTCTGCCTTGTCAGTGGAGGCCTGCACCAGAGCCTCTGGCCCCGCCTCCCACCCTCGGGGAGGCTGAGGCTGGGGAGGCTGCCGGGGCTCCTCTCCTGGGGAGGGCAGCTTCCTCTTCCCGTTGCCCTCAGCTGCCCCGGCCTGGGGGGTGGTATCCCTCTGGATGTCGGGCCTTGCCTCTGGGCCATGGGGTGCCTGAGGACTCCTGGGGAACGGGCCAGAAGCCATGACCTGAGTCCGGTGGCTGCAGGACTCCTGAACCAGGTGGATGTCCCCCGCCTGGGTGGGGGTGGCTGTAGCCGTGGGTTTTGCCAGGGGTTCGAGGCCAGAACCACCATTCTGGAGCTGCATTTGGGGGGG